TCGGAAGTTGTGGCAGTTTCGATGAAATTTTCACACATTTGGAGCCACATAAAAATATTTCAACTTACCACACCGCATCGTGTAACGAATAATCAACAGTTTTCTAAATTTTTGTTAGATGTCGGTGATGGTAAAATTCCAATCGTACGTACAAGCACTAGTAATTGTTTAATACCATTATTAGAAGAAGTCAAGTACGTAACAATTTTAAATGATTTATTAGATTTTGTATTTCCTATTGATCTTTTACAAAATTCTAATGCTTGTGCAACACGCGCAATTTTATCAACGTTAAATCTTAACGTTAATGAAATTAACAACATTGTGTTGGATAGATTATCGGGCGATGCTGTAACTTTATTTAGTGCCGACTATTTAGATGAAGAACAAAATTCATTGGCCGGCACAATAACGGATGAAGTAATGCATCAAGCTACAAAATCTGGTGTACCAAATCATTTATTAAAATTAAAAGTTGGTGCACTTTGTCTCATCACGAGAAATCTCAATTTTGAAGATCGCTTAGTGAACGGGACAAAAGTTGTAGTAGTCTCGATTAGTAATAGAATTGTTACTGTTAGGCGTCCAAATGACCCAAACAATGAACAATATGCTATTCCTAGAATAAATTTTAAATTAGAAATTGACAAAAAATGTGATTTTACAATGAATAGACGACAATTTCCATTACAATTGGCCTATGGAATGTCTATTCATAAATCACAAGGTCAAACTTTGGACATGGTAGGAGTGGATTTAAGATCACCATGTTTTACACATGGTCAACTTTACGTTGCACTCAGTAGAGTCAGATCACCAGATGATGTACGTGTGTTGATATCATCTGACGATATTATTGAAAATAAAGCACACGCGTCTAATATTGTTTTTAAAGACCTTATTAGATGATTTTTTTTCAATTTTTTAAATATTTCATTTCTCATTTTGAAATTGTTTTAAAATTTGCTTAAATTGTTCAAAATAAATTTCTGTTTGATGACATACATGTCTAAATGTGACCTAAAAAGCGTTAAGCTTACCTACATTACCATTGCAGGTTAATAAAGTCACACATGTTTAGATTCTTACGGATTTTAACATTGTTCAATTTGAGTATTTCAATATCTATTTTTTAGATTTATTTAGATTCTTATCTAAATTTGATATTTTTATAATATTCAGTTCATAATGGTTCAGTTAAACTGTAAGGTTACAATACTTAAAAATGACTAATAAAAACGTTATACCTATCTCATATAGCAATTAGCAAAGTCGCAAACATAAACTGTATGCGTATTTAACCTTTGCATTAATAATTCTATATTACCTGGTTAACAAAAATTTAGTCATAAAAGTTAAGTTTCCAAAAACAGATTGTAATTCTGACCGTTTGTAACTTTTATAAAAATATACAATTGGTACAATATTATTGTCCAATTTACATGTCGTAGGGCTACAGGCGAGAGACATGTATAAAATAAACACAACGCGCCAAAGTTCTACCTCATAAAAATCTTAATTTTATAACAAATGAAAATCGTTATAAAGTTAATATTTCAAGGTGGTGTGGAAATGAACTACAAATTTTGAAATGAACTGGAGAAGAGGATCCTCGCTCGCTTGGTGAAAGGTAAACATTCATTTATCTACGATAGAGAACTTTACTATAACGACATTTTTTTATTTTTTAGGAATTCTTAAAACTCTACTACGGCCTTTTACACCTTAGACATTTGGATAAGCAGATCCTCACTCGTTTCGCTCGCTCGACAGCTCCAACGTCTTCTGGTCTTCTAAATTTAAACGTAAGTTAATTTTAAGTTAAATTAAAGCACGGTCCTATATTTCTAAGGTCTGGAATCATGTGTCGAAAAAGTGTACCGTTATTTGAGAATAAAACAGAGTTCTTATAACGGCCGCTGTGAGGCGATGTTGTAAAGGACCCCGGTTTTTTGTGTTCGAATTATGTAGAATTTTCATTAAGATAGATTTTATTCAAACAAAAATAAATACAAAATATAAAAATATATTTATTTTTGATGATTTTGTTGTAAACATTATGCCTCACGTATCTTCGGTTAATATATTTTTCCATTTTCTCCTCGAAATATCAAAAAATAATTTTTGAAGATTTGACAGCTTGAACTGTCGTTTTACAACTGCGATTTATATGTAAAGCGACGCTGATTGGCTGAGATAAGTTGGTCCTCCGATCGTTCGCCACTTAAGATTAAAAAATCCTCAAATAACGGGACACATTCTCTAATGCATAAGCATAGAGAGATGTCAGATCTTAGAAATATAGGACCGTGATTTTAAGTAAATTAATTTACTAATAGTCTCGATTCGTTCGCTCGACTATTACTATTTGGATCAACGGGGTCAGTGACCAAAACCGCGGTACGAAAGACAAGGCCGGTAGGCCTTGGCTTTGTGCCGCGGGGGGGTTGAAAGGGGGCGAAGCCCCCTTTCCGAGCTTTCAGCGAGTCTTATATATACTAAAACCCCAGGCGTCATCCCATCATTGGCGAGATTTATTCTTTTTGAATTATTCGGGGACGGAGAGGGGTGTAGGAAGATGAAAACGGACCCGCTGATTACGAAAATGACCGTCTTTTCCCCGACTAAATTCGTTTTCGCTCGCAATCGCGATTTGAAAATGAAAATTGTCGGCCATGTTGAAATTTTTTGAAGTGTACGTAATTTTGTGTCATTTTTCGTACTTTCGCGTGGATCCGAATTTTGCCGAACCTTCACTCGGCGAACCGATCTCCGAGAAATTTCTAAATTACACAATTATATGTAAGAAAATGATTAAAAAATCGTTTCTAGCGGCGTTTTATTGAATAATTTGTAAAAATAAACGAGAATAAATAACCAGCTAAAAAATTTTCGTCGAGAAATTTGAATATGTCAACAGTGTCATTTGAAACTGCCGACGGGACGGGTCGCTTGCGCTTCGATCCGCCTAATTTCGCTTTTTTAATGGATTTTCAGCGTTAAATTCAAGGTAAGTGAGCTTATTTGACGATATTAATACCTCTACAAACAATCTTCTACGATATTTAAATGGTCCCGAATAAGATATAACCCATTTAAAAATTGCAAGGTTAAGTTGCATAAAGCCGTTTATTGAGCAGATTATTTTACTTTTTAGAGGACCTGCAGCCTATATTTGACCGAAAATACCTAACTGAAGATGAAAACTAGGTCCCAGTAAGCATATTGTGCCAAATTCCCTTGATAATTGGTCAATATTTGGATTCGAAGAATGGTCTACGTAGAAAATCCTACCTCAATACATGGTGTTACATTTGGAGGAATACAACTTTTTGGATGAAAGAACCATTTCCAGAGTATGGATATGTCGAAAGAAGACTAAATAGTGGTCATTTTAAAGAAAAAAACGATAAAAATTGGTCAAGAATTAACGAAGAAGATTCATAGGCCTTTTACCATTCGGGTGAGTGTCTACATAAACCTTACGATACCTACGTAAATGTAAGTAAATGAATAAAAAATCGTTTCAGCAACCTTTTTTGTTGCATAATCTGTAAAAATAAACAAGATTAAGTTAAATAATCCGTTTAAAATTCGTCTAGAAATTTGGAAATGGAAAATGCCAAAACTGTCAAGTGTCAACAGTGTCATTTGAAACTACCGTCGGAAAAGATACTTGCGCTTCGATCCGTCTAATTTCGCATTTTTAATGGATTTTCAGCGTTAAATTCAAGGTAAGTGAGCTTATTTGACGATTTAATACCTTTACAAACAATCTACGATATTTAAATTGATCCCGTATAAGAATAAACCCATTTAAAACATTGTAGGTTAAGTTTCATAAAGCCGCTTTTTAACCAAATTATTTTACTTTTTAGAAGACCTGCAGCCTATATTTCACGATTATTACCAAACTGATGTTGAAAAGAAGGTCCCAGTAAGCATATTGTGGTAAATTCCGTCGATTATTAGTCGATATTTGGATTCGAAGAATGGCCTACGTAGAAAATCCTACCTCAATACATGGTGTTACATTTAGAGGAATACCACTTTTTGGGTGTAAATACAGTTTCCAAAGTATGAATAAGCCGAAAGAGGACTAAGTTAGCGTCGTTTTAACGAAAAAATGATTAAAATCGGTCCAGAAATAACGGAGAAATGAAATCTAACATTTTTTCCTTCGTTCGAAGAACTACGTGGGTTATTTTGATTCAAAAGTATAAGCTGCTTAAATCGTAAGTACTTGATAAAATGCTTTATTAACACAAAATATCATTCGATTAAGATTGTTTTATACGGAAATCGTAAAAATTTATTGATATTTAACAAAGTATCGAATGATTTTTTGTTACCCGTAGAATAAAAAGGAACTTTTAATACTTATAATTTCACCTTATTTTGCAGGATTGACACTGAAAAATAGGAAGTAAATAACTACTAGAAACTTAAAGTAAACCACCAACAACAATTAGGACAATATTTTGGATTTTTTCTACGATTTTTACCATTCTTCGAAACATCTTTTACTTCGATCGGAGTATCTTCGGGTACCCAAATAATGTGTTTAAAACGTAAGTACTTACTAATAATATGTTAACAGGACAAAATATCATTCAAATACAATTATTTAAAACAGAAATCATTAAAATTGGTTGAAAAATAACTTGGTAACGAATGATTTTTTGTTATCAGTAAAATTAAAACGGGTAAATTTGAGTATTTTAGAGTTTCATTGTATTATTTACCGTTTTCTACCTTTTATCAGAATGCTTTTACCTTTAAAATGAATACTAAAAATGTAAGAATTGAATTTTCTATAAAAATAAACCCATTTTTAATGATTTTTATTCTATTTTTCAGGATTATAAAGCTGTTTCAAGCCTGATGAGAGAGGATTAGAACTCGATATAACTAGCAAAACAGTCAATTTGGATAATTTGGAGAGTTTCCTTGGAATTTTGACAGTTTTCTTCCGTTTTCAAGACTATTATGTCTTTAAAATGAAAACTAAAAAGGTAAGAATTGAATTTTCTATAAGAATAAAACCATTTTTAATGATTTTTATTCTATTTTTCAGGATTATAAAGCAGTTGCAAGCCTGATGAGAGGATTAGAACTCGATATGACTAGCAAAACAGTCAATTTGGATAATTTGGAGAGTTTCTTTGGAATTTTGACAGTTTTCTTCCATTTTCAAGACTATTATGTTTTCAAAATGAATACTAAAAAGGTAAGAATTGAATTTTCTATGAGAATGAACCAATTTTTAATGATTCTTTTTCTATTTTTTCAGGATTTTGAAGCTATTGTGACCGTTTTGTTCTGTTTTCAAGACTACTCTGCCTTCAAAATGAATACTGAAAAGGTAAGAATTGAATTTTCTATAAGAATAAACCCATTTTTAATGATTTTTTTTCTATTTTTCAGGATTATAAAGCTGTTTCAAGCCTTATGAGAGAGGATTAGAACTCGATATGACTAGCAATACAGTCAATTTGGATAATTTGGAGAGTTTCCTTGAAATTTCGACCGTTTTCTTTCGTTTTCAAGACTATTATGTCTTCAAAATGAATACTAAAAAGGTAAGAATTGAATTTTCTATAAGAATAAACCCATTTTTAATGATTTTTATTCTATTTTTCAGGATTATAAAGCTGTTTCAAGCCTGATGAGAGAGGATTAGAACTCGAAATGACTAGAAATACAGTCAATTTGGATAATTTTGAGAGTTTCTTTGGAATTTCGACAGTTTTCTTCCGTTTTCAAGACTATTATGTCTTTAAAATGAAAACTAAAAAGGTAAGAATTGAATTTTCTATAAGAATAAAACCATTTTTAATGATTTTTATTCTATTTTTCAGGATTATAAAGCTGTTTCAAGCCTGATGAGAGAGGATTAGAACTCGATATGACTAGCAAAACAGTCAATTTGGATAATTTGGAGAGTTTCTTTGGAATTTTGACAGTTTTCTTCCGTTTTCAAGACTATTATGTCTTTAAAATGAATACTAAAAAGGTAAGAATTGAATTTTCTATGAGAATGAACCAATTTTTAATGATTCTTTTTCTATTTTTTCAGGATTTTGAAGCTATTGTGACCGTTTTGTTCTGTTTTCAAGACTACTCTGCCTTCAAAATGAATACTGAAAAGGTAAGAATTGAATTTTCTATAAGAATAAACCCATTTTTAATGATTTTTTTTCTATTTTTCAGGATTATAAAGCTGTTTCAAGCCTTATGAGAGAGGATTCGAACTCGATATGACTAGCAATACAGTCAATTTGGATAATTTGGAGAGTTTCCTTGAAATTTCGACCGTTTTCTTCTGTTTTCAAGACTATTATGTCTTCAAAATGAATACTAAAAAGGTAAGAATTGAATTTTCTATAAGAATAAACCCATTTTTAATGATTTTTTTTCTATTTTTCAGGATTATAATGCTGTTTCAAGCCTTATGAGAGAAGATTCGAACTCGATATGACTAGCAATACAGTCAATTTGGATAATTTGGAGAGTTTCCTTTAAATTTCGACCGTTTTCTTCCGTTTTCAAGACTATTATATCTTCAAAATGAATACTAAAAAGGTAAGAATTGAATTTTCTATAAGAATGAACCCATTTTTAATGTTTTTTTTCTATTTTTCAGGATTATAATGCTGTTTCAAGCCTTGTGAGAGAGGATTAGAAGTCGATGTGACTAACAATCAGTCAATTGGGATAATTTGGAGAGTTTCTTTGGAATTTCGACCGTTTTCTTCCGTTTTCAAGACTATGTCTTCAAAATGAATTCAAAAAAGGTAAAAATTAAATTTCCTATGGGAATGAACCCATTTTTAATGATTTTTTGTTCTATTTTTCAGGATTCTGAAGCCGTTTCAAGCTTTAATTATCTATTAGAGGGAGCCAACCCAGCTTTAAAGACATTTTGGAATTCTGTCATCTCTACGGTCTTCTACAACTTAGTCAAGACACCTGGATAGCAGGATTTTCGCTCTAATTTATTCCTTTACCAGAAGATCGATGTCCTTGCGGTTTTTTACGACAGTTCATGACGAACTGGATCCGTTCTGAACGATTCTAGGCAGTTCTAAATGATTCTAAAGCGTTGTAAATCATTCTGGAGCATTCTAAATGATTGTAGAACGTTCTAAATTATTCTAGATTGTTCTGAATGATTCTGAAACATTGTAAATAATTCTAAGACGTTCTATATAGGTTTAAACAGTTCAAAAGGATTCTGAAATATTGTAAATGATACTAGAGCATTCTAATTGATTCTAATACATTCTATATGGGTTTAAATAGTTATAAAAGATTCTGAAGTGTTTTAAATAATTCTGAAATATTGTAAATGATACTGGAGCATTCTAATTGATTCTAATACATTCTATGTCGGTTTAAATAGTTCTAAAAGATTCTGAAGTGTTTTAAATGATTCTGAACAGTTCTAAATGATTGTAGAACGTTCTAAATTATTCTAAACAGTTCTAAATGATTCTGAAATATTATAAATGATACTGGAGCATTCTAATTGATTCTAATACATTCTATATAGTTTTAAACAGGTCTAAAGGATTCTAAAGTTCCAAATAACTCTGAACAGTTTTAAATGATTCTCAAATATTGCAAATGATACTGGAGCATTCTAATTGATTCTAATACATTCTATGTCGGTTTAAATAGTTCTAAAAGATTCTAAATAATTATAAGCAATTCTAAATGATTCTGAAACATTGCAAAAAATACTGCAGCATTCTAAATGATTGTAGAACGTTCTACATTATGCAAAAGCTTTGTACATGATTCTAGAGCATCCTAAATGGTTTTAGATAGTTCTAAATGATTGTAGAGGGTTCTAATGGTTCTAGAACGTTCTAAATGATCTATACAGTTTTAAATGATTCTGAAGCGTTGTAAATGATTCCAAGGGATTCTTAATTATTCTAGAATGTTTTAAATAGTTTTAGACAGTTCTAAATGATTTAAAAAAATATTTATTATCAGATTCTTTCTGATTTTTGTCATCGAGCATTTAATATAAACGTATGTATAAATGCATATTTCGAAGTTTTCTTTTACCTTTTACCAAAATGCTTTCCTTCAAAGTGAATACTGAAAAGAAAAGCATTGAATGTTCTATGAAAATGTACCCATTTCTAATTGTATTTATTAATTTTTTAGGATTCTGTAACTGTTTTAAACGTGAGAGGATTGGAATTCCGGCGCCGGCAATTTGATGACTTTGCGGCCTTTTACTACTTTGACATTTGGGGAACATGATCTTCGCTCGCTTAGTGAAGGGTAAATACTAAAAATTACCTATGAGAGAGAAGCCTACCATAACTACTTGGGATGCTCGTCATCCGCTTCGCTCGCTCGGTTTAAAGGTATAATTTGATTTATCTGTAGGACAGTTTTTTTAGTAACGTGGGCAGTTTTTTCATCAGATTTCATAAGCCTCTTACTTTTCGGGTCAGTGACCAAAACCGCGGTACGAAAGACAAGGCCGGTAGGCCTTGGCTTTGTGCCGCGGGGGGGTTGAAAGGGGGCGAAGCCCCCTTTCCGAGCTTTCAGCGAGTATACATATATTCTCTTAAGGGTTGAATTTACCCCTAATAATAGAAACTACCCTCGTAGTGCACGCGTGCAAAATTATGCGCCCATCGGATTTGTAATTTTCGAATTTTAATCGAGACCCTAAATGCCCGTATAATATATTTAGACGAGCACCTCAGCACCGAGTACCGAGCGCCGACAACAGACCCGTTGGATAGTCGATGGACGGTCCGACGATAGCGATGAAAATTCAAGCCGATCCCCGAAAATATACACAGACGGGCTTTCGAGCATCGAGCGCCGAACGCCGAGCCGATACCGTCGAACGACGGACCGTCGAGAGTGTACAGACGGGCCACCGAATACCGATCACCGAGCATCGAGCGCCCCGATAGCCGATCCGCCATCGTGCAAACGAAGGTCCGACGGGAATATACAGAAAGGCAGCCGAGCATCGAGCGCCGACCGCCGACCGCCGAGTCGATACCATCGAACGACGTACCGTCGAGAGTGTAGAGACGGGCCATCGAGCACCGATCACCGAGCGCCCCGATAGCCGACCCGCAATCGCACGGTTCGACGGTCCGACGATGGCGATTAAATTTCAAGCCGATATTCGTAAATTATATGCCAACGTGCTACCGAGCATCGAACAGCGATCGTCGACTCGCTACAGTCGACTGTCACCAACGACGATAAACTAGAGAGAATTGTGCTAGCGCTCGAACAGCGGTTTTCGTAAAAACGAAAAATTTTGAAATTTTTCGACGTAGGTCGATTAATCATAGTTAGACGTGACTATTTATGCAAAAATAATCCTAAAATTAAACATAAGCAAAGTTTTATCGAAGCGCCAATTTATAATTCCTATGCTTATTCGAATGTACAACGCTCACCGGTGACCTTTTCCCCACTGTAAGAGAGCGCTGTGCGGGCGCCGGCTGGGTAAAGCGCGCGAGCGCGGCTTCGATTCGGTTGGCCTCCCGTTCGGCATAAGTCTCTCTTCGCACGTCGGGTACTAATTGATGCGCTGTTTGGTGGTTTCTTACGACTAGAAAATTTTCGGCGGCGTCCTATATTCGTTCATACGTTATACGCTCGCAGCCGATTTTGCCTTGTTCGGACGAACGATCGCTCGGCGCTTTGGTACCTATTTCGTGTGTATGGTGGTATGTATGGCGAAGTATTTTAAGCGTATATCGGCTTTTTGGAATTATCGTCGACTGCACGCACGTTTAGGGGTGGAAAAACTGATATTACGTTTTTAATTCACACCGAGTGCGTTGTCAAGAAATTATCCGTTGCCGCTGCTTATTTCTACGTTCATTTTACATACAAATACCTTCGAACGCATAATTGAGAAAAAGAGTAAGGCCAAATTCGTCGCATTACACTCGTATTCACGTCACTCGCACCAATCGTTTCTTGCTCATTGCGTGATATT